CCAAAATGTCTTCTTGTTTGAGTGGCCATGGTACAAAAAGCAGGAAATTCAGCCCTCTTTTCTCGTTTCAGAGTCTTGAATTAACTAAGTCATTAACACACAAAACAACTTATGAACCAGAGACGCCACGCCATAGCCTATGTTAATGTTGGTAAACTAACCAGTACAGTTGAGTTTTATAGTTTTATCTGCCGTGAAAAGTTGTTGGAGATAAATTTAGCTGAGATTTGGGTATAGAGTTACTAAAATGACAAAGAGTTATTAAGATGATAAGTAACAAAGTGTAAACAAAACCTAAACTGACTCATAAGAAGTGAAATGTATAATTATTATTTACGTAAATGTGAATTTCTTTTCATTTCAATAATATCATATCTAGTTTATATTCTCCATGAATATGAGTTAGTAGACAAGTGAATGGAATTTGGCGGTAGTGGTGTTTCGATGAACGAGTTAGAAAAGCAATCTATGGTATGTTTAAGGCAACCTCACCCACGCTTTGTTTCCGACTTCTTAACAACTGCACGTTCAAGTGTATTGGCTGATTAATTTATTGAACATAAAGACTGGTAAATTGTAAATAAATGAAATAGATAAATRTAAGTAAATAACGGAGTTAAGTTCCACAGATCAAGCAGGATCTGATTAACTGGTCTTTCTTTTTTTATCGAAATCTCTTACAGTTCCTAAATCTCCTAAAGCGTCCTCTGTTGCGACTCAGTGAATTTGAGAAGCTGAAATAATTTTCCTGAGAAACAAGGGCTGAATTTCCTGCTTTTTGTACCATGGCCACTCAAATAAGAAGACATTTTGTGATAAATGTTTTATGTAAAGTTTATCCTTTTATGTAAAAAAAACTAACCTATTCAAGATGCTATAAAATTGTAAAAAACTGACAGTAGGTGGCATATCATATCACTGGTTTCTAGGTACCAGTTTATAAATTGTTTTTGTGAGTTATGGCGTATAAAAAGTTCGCGTTTTGAAGTCTTGAGCTTAAGTGTCAAGTAAGGTGGGTAAATCACGAACTACTTTAATTTAGTCTTAATACCGTTAGATATTTCTTAAAGTAATTCTAAGTATGGGCGAGTTGGCAAACACATGATTGATGATTTTATATGTGGGCGAATTGGTGTGGGCAAGTTGGTCCGTGGGCGAATTGACTGTTTACCCTATGTGTTTACATTATTGCAAACCACCACTGATCCCATGATTGTAAATTGCTGGGCTAGGAGGCTTAGGCACCAGGCCAACTACAACCTTAGGAACAATCGCACATATATATGTTGTACCTAGATTGTGCACTAGAGATTTGGCAGCACTTTTATTCCTACATTGTAAACCTGCTATAAGAGTTTTTGGCACTTTCCATTAAGTTAAAATGACCATTCCAAGCTGCCAGTTCTCAAATATGTCAGTTCTATTAGGTTTAAGAACTTAGTATAACAGTTCTATAGAACTGGACATTTGAGACCTGGCTGCTTGGAACCTTCAGTTCGACAGCCATCAGTTCGACCTAATGAAAAGGTCCCTTAAAGCATTGCTCCTTTTGGTTTTTGACCTAATTTTTCTTAATTTTATCTAACATATTTCCATTTTTTATTCCCATTTATTTAGTATTGTGTATATTATGCAGTTCAGCCTTTGAGTGCTATGTAATGCTTATTATTTAATTATCTATATATATCTAAAGTCACATCCAGTTTCACATTACAGTATACTTTTCACAATCCTTGCCCCAGCAAGGTTGACATCCACTTTGGAACTTCAAGAGTTCCTGCTAAAGCTCATAATTATTCTTATTAATTTCATTATTTTTGCTTTGAAGTCCCTTGGTAATTTCTGAGCATAGTTTGGAACCTGAAGGGGCATAGTCAGGGGGGCCTTGCTCCCTGCCCTCCCCCCCCCCCAGATCCTCACACTGTAGAAACCTAAAAATCTGAGTAGTCACATGATAAGTTCAAGCAGACTTATCAATGTTCCTCAAAGCAAAGTTCAGGCTACGCCAATGACCCTGATATTGAAAAGTCTTGTGAAACTGACTGTTGGTATAATGTAATGTATATTATGTCTAAATAAATGTATAAATTGTTATTATTGCTATTGCCTATATATATACCTCAGTCTAGTGTGTTATGTGATGATGAGAAATTCTACATTTGCAGGATTGTGGATGGATATGCAATATTTAAGTACTGGTTACCATTTAACCCAGAAGATGACTATAAAAAGCCATACATGCCTGTTTCATCAGATAATGGTTTGTTCCTTCATTGCCTTTTGCACGCAGGATGACATGTCTAGCTCTTATTATATTATTATATATATGTTATATTATATGTAGTGTTTAAAAAAGGAGTAGTAGTGTTTTATCAGGTATAAAAGCAAGAGGCGTAGCGGAGTGCTTTTATACCTGATAAAACACGATCTACGAGTTTTTTGAACTGCTTAAAACACTCATGAACAATTTATAAGATTTTGGTTCAACTGTAGCCACCATACACGTCACGAACATGGATTTTTATACTTCGATAGAGATTTGACGTCATGGGCATGCGCAACCAGATTCAATAGAAGCTCCCACACGTTGGATATTGCGTGCCAAGGCAAAGACAGGCACGTTAGTCAAAGATCATTAGGGTTGACTATGACCTTGATGAGGCTCTAAGTCTTCATCTAAACTTGGATGCATACTTCATCCCTGATGAAGTCATCCTCATAGTATTCGAGTGGTCTTTATATAAAATCACTTGAATACTAATGAAGAGGACTTTATCGGGATAAAGGTTCATGCACRTGACGTGTATGGTGGCTCCAATTGGACCATAAGCTTATGAATTATTAATGAGTATTTTAATGTATTATATTATATTATATATCATATCATATATCATATATCATATCATATCATCATATCATATCATTTCATATCATATCATATTATATTATGTTATATTATACCTGATAAAACACTCCTACTCGTTTTTTAAACACTACTTTGTTATGTTATGTTATGTTATGTTATGTTATGTTATGTTATGTTATATTATGCATATTATTTAGATCTTATTAACCGAGTGGGAGGTCTGTACAGGATAATCTTGACCGAGGTCTGTACCCCACCAAGGTTAAGATTATCCCGTACAGACCGACCAAGCTCGGTTGATAAGAGTTTTGTCATATGACCACTTTTCATTGAAAAGGACAAAATGTTTTCGCTGTAAGATTAATATGCGATCGGACCGGTTAATACCGGAGAATCTAGACCAGTCCAAGATGTGATCTATCCAATCAGATTGCTCRATTTGCTAGTGTTCAGGCTCTAAGATTCACGGTCATATAATAAATTATATTATTATGTCTTTTGATCTTTGTTAGCTATTGAAATTAAAATACTTTYGAATGATTGTCAGTCATTACATTTATTTACGTTTCTTCAAGGATACTTTTCTCGGGAAAAATTGCTGAGCTCCAGGGAGGATGACATGTCTAGCTCTTATTATAATTACTTTTATCATTCATTATGAAATCTTTTCATTATCATAGAAAGAGAAAATGAGCTGAAAGATCAAAGACTCAGTATCTGGATAAACTGCTTTGAATATCATGTATATAATAGGTAAGTAAAAGTATCATAAATTTTAAGAGATATTCACCTCAGAGAGAAACAATGCAGTATCAGAACATGTGAAGAATATTATCAGAGAACTATTTTTGTCAATAGTATTTTTCTCAGGGGCAAACATCCCTATAAGACACTAAAAAACGCTCAACTCACAAGTTGATTTTTAAGGAAGGAGGAAATTGGAGAACCCAGAATAAACCCTCGAAACATATAAGAGCATGCTTAATAAGTAAATTACTAGCCTTATATGAAACGACTGAAGAAGAGTGCCATACAAGCCTTTCACAACTTCAAGTCGAGTAAAAAATGAGCCAGCTCAACTAGAAAACGTGGACAGCTGTTTCAGCCTGTATTGGGCCTTGTCAACACGGTGGTATCCCACACGGCTTACCGCCTCATCTATCATACTACTTTTTCGTGGGATTCTACCAGCTCACTAGATAYACAGTGCTGACAAGCTAATTTACTTATTACTCATGTTCTTACATGATGTCCGAGCCCATCCCACACRGCTTACACTGCCTCATCTATCATGTACCTTGAAGCATAGGAGAAAACAACACATCAAACAAGCTCAATTCACATATGGTGTTCGAACCAGTGACCCAAACCTTTGGACTCACAGTTGTGGTGATTAATGGCATGTTAGAAGCCTATGCCACCCTTGCTGCCTGCTTGAGTTTAATATTAATAGTGAGTGTATTTATAAACACTTTCAACAGATCAACAATTTATGATAGACTACAGGATCTGTATAAAGCAGAGAGATATGGAGGTAATGAAAAAGTCATTTGATGGTGAAAATATGAAAAAGCCATAGTGAGTGAATACCTTGAATGTTAGTTGACTCTGTTATTGTTTTGATTGAAGATGCTGCCAAGTCCACTCAAAACATCCACAATATTTCAGACACCTCTAAAAAGGACAGGTATATACTTTGAGAAAATCAAGTGCAATATAACACATTACACTAAAACACAGCCCATTCCTACTTACATTGCATAACACATTACACCAAGCACAGCCCATCCCTACTGACATTGCATAACATATTACACCAAAACACAGCCCATTCCTACTGACATTGCAT